CACATTAGGTTGTATATGACAGAAAAAGGATTTTTCACTAAAAGGATTGGAATGACTAAGATGGGTTCTGTAGGGTAATTTCAGGTATTCTGGATTCTTACTGGACCATTTAAAAAGACATTCAGAAACGAGCAATTAGACCATGCACACAGCTTTTTACCTGTGATGACTATGAGTTTCTTGTTATAGCCCAGAGAGTCATAAAAAATATTCGTGCACTCACCTTCCTTGGTAAAAAAAATTTCTCTCATTGGTAGAGAAAAGAACTAACAAATCAGATATTCCTGATATAGCTGATTTAAAGAATTTAGGTCATCATTTAGGCTGTTTATAGAAAGGTCGATTAGATTATCTGTGAACAGTGAAGGATAAATTAATGTAGCAGGCACCAAATTGCATGTATTGTACTGAAGAGGTGCAGAAGAAACTTGAGCTGTTGTCAGATGGCCATGGACCCACACCATGATATAGATATAAATCTCCAGGTACCACCTGAATAAATAATTTGGATGAGACTCTCCAGCAGAATGCTCCTGCTGAAGCTGGTGAAAGCCAGGTCGTTCAAGGCATTTGATTTTACCAGATATATGGCTAATGCTTACAGTCAGAAGCAGAAGCTTATTAAAAACAAAGGGAGAGCCAGTCTGATTAAAGTAGGGCAGTAGAAGAGAGAGGGTAGTTTATACTGAAAGTTTATGAGGTTGTCTGCTTTATCATTACAGAGCAACAATACTAAGATATTTCCTTTAGTTTCCCCAGACATAGATCATGTACAGATGCAAATATAGATCTAAAAGTCTTGCTTGCACATAGATTTTTCTAACCAGGATTATTTATAGAAGCCAGGGAAACCGAAATACTTTAAATTTTAATCCCAGCCAATAAAATATCTAAGGCAGATTATTCTCAGATGAGATGCAATTGATTTTATTGTTAAAAAATTCCAAATAAATTACCACACCACATTTTGGGAAGCCAATTAAATGAGAGATTATGATACAAGATGAGCAAATACGAATGGGTGAATACTCAGAAGTGTTCGTTGAAAATTTACACCAATAAAAATATGTTACAGGTAAAATTATTTAGAGCTACCATTGAAGGAACAAGAGGGATGTTCATGTTTACATATTCTTCAAGGAAAGTACAATGCAAGTGCAGACACCAGCTGGAGCATCAGTGAGATAGCACACAGGAACTTACAAAAAATGTTATAATATTTAGAATTAGAAAAAATTATAAACCTTTATCCCTGCAATTTTCTTGGAAATGGCAATTATCTTCAGGTTTGAATCTTCTCATGAGCTAGAAACTGTTCAGTACCCTTTTGACTGGGTGTTCCTTATTGTACTTTTCTGACTGGACTTTTTTACTAGATTTTATAAAGACAAACAAACATGAGAGAAATACATTAGAATACTGTAAAAAGTTATACCTTGCTTATTAAATTCATAAGTACTACATGCAAACAGAACAGTTTTTAGTTCAGCCAAGTGTATGTTATTTTATAATGTCTGAAATCAACTTCAGTCATGGTTATGAGTTTGCCGTCATGATTGGTAGCTGTACCTAAACCACACATACATTATGCAAGAGATCATTACTGGAAGTATTTAATTCACATCCTATGTTTCTCAGCTAGCAAAGCAAAGGGAGTCATTGGAGTGAAATGAAACTGAAACAAGCACAGGCCCCAAGCCAGCAAAAAGGGAAAAACAACAACCATAAAAGCATTGCATGGCTGCAAGCCAGTGAATGCTCCGTCATGCAGTTGTCAGCCTCCTCCTGTGGCAGTGGCCAAAGAACCCTTTAAATTATGGTCTCTGGGTTGGGTTCCTAAAGCTTGAGCTGTGTAATCCCTCTGACACACAACAGTGCTTCCTGCTGCTGTCACATGCAGTGAGCAGGATGTGGCTGGGGAGCTCCTTCCCTCCGAGCTCCAGCGTGGGAGCAGCAGGGCAGCGCCGTGGGATTTGTGGAACAGCGCGATGGGCACCGGTGGTCCCTGAGCACCAGCCCAAACTCCTCCACTCTGGGCGGCCTCGGAATAACAGAAAAGAAGGGGGTCAGGTTCATGTCAGGAATTTCTCAACATGTCAGTAATTTTCAGTGTTCTACAAAAAAGAGAAAATAAATGGGAGTTGAATTCTACAGAAACCTTGTCTAACTGTCTAGTTAGACAGTCATTTGTCTAACTGGGCTGGATAGGACCATTAAATAGTAGTTACTGACTGTAAAAATGCTTTTTCCCTGTTTCTTCTTCTATGAACTTGCTGTTAATGTCACTGTTCACCTTTTCCTCCAAAGTAAACCAAATGCTAACAATTTCTGTGTCTTATTTTCAGCATTTTAAGGACATAGTCCTATTATTATTATTATTATTCATGTTATTCTTGATTTATAAAGCCTGTAACACAAACTGTAATTCAATGCTGATGAATCAAGGCTGGTTTACATATTTGCAATTCACTATAGTTTTCTTGCAAAAAGTCTTATGGACCCATAAGTGCACATGCAGGATGTTGTCCTGATTGTACTTCAAAAAGATCAGGCTGCTCCAGAGTTCAGGTACTATAAATACCACAAAAGCAAGTCAATATGCTTTTAAAAAGCATCAGGTAAAACTACAGAACTTTTTAGGGGAGAAAAGCAGTAGAATGACAATTGAAAGGATGAACTAAAAATACACTGCATCTATTTTTCAGGGCTCTAGAACTATTTTATTTTTCTACAATTTTCAGGAGGAAAACATTCATTGTTATACCAGATTTTTTTAAAAAAAAGTAGCTTATGCCCAAAGAATTGAAAAACATGAATTATTCATGAATGGAATGGCTTTTTAAGAAGAAAATTTGTAATTGTACACGTGTTGACTGTAGTTAATCTGAATTCTACAGTATATACTCAGATGTTAAGAAAATTATATTTTGGAAGCTGCTAAGTTTTATTTCCTCTACACCAAGGTTTAATTTCTGTTTATTTCTGTTAGAAACTTGCTTTTGAATTGCATGTAACAAATGCAAGGCTGTAGGCATTTCTTCCCCTAAATACACATTTTTGTATCTAGTTTGAAATATGCAATTTGCCATAAATACAGGTGACTCTTTTTATGAAGTGCTTAGGAGGTTTTAGTGCATTCATTGCACATGTTGAAGTAAATGAACTAAATGTGTTTCAAACAAATGTGTTTGAAACAAGAGACTGTAAATAAAAATGCACTTTGAGGGTCAGAAATCTGTGTAGGTTCCTAAACTCACTGATGTTATAAGTTGAATGATTTGGGTTTGTGTCAGTGGGCAGGCTACAGCTGTTCTCGAAATGGCATTTTCTCAGGCTGCCAAAAAGCATCTGCATCACTGGGCATGTTCTGTGCATTAGAGCAAGAGCTGCAGGACCTTTACTCTCTGCAGCTGATCATGAAGGACAGCAGACTCAGAGAATTTCTCTACAGCCTTGTCAGAAATCTCAAAAGAAATTAGAAGTAAGGATGGTCTTGTCTGCAAACTGAACCTATTGCAAGAAACAGGGTTAGCAGTACAAAGCAGGAGATCAGTTAGAGCTTGGGGATCCTGGAAGAAAAGAGATCCATATGGAAGTTCTCAGCCTCAGGGAACCAGGCATACAGGTATTTTGTGTTTTATAAACTGGGGTGCTTTTTTCCCCCTTCATTTGATTATGAAAGTGTGCTGGGTTTTTTGGCATTAGCTAAAGAGAGAAATTATTTATAAGCTTTTTATAAACCTGGAACAAAAGGTTTTAAGTTACTGACAAAGGGCAGCAGTAATGACATTATGGAGTTATAATAGGCAGGTAAATAGGAATAGCTGTAAGAAGAAATATATTTTCATTTATAACAATTTGTGCTCTGCAGTGACTTTCAAATAATTAGATAGGGATGTTATGTGTTCCTATGTACAGGAAAATCTTTATGTAGTCTAAGTCAATAAGACTTTTGGCAGAGGGTTCAATAACAAATGCCATTTGAAAAAATGTTTTAAGGTTGCATGTGTGAAGCAACAGGTTAAGGATCTATCCACTTGCAATTTTTCATCTTGGGAATATATGTCAGAACTCAATATAGAAATGATTTTCTATATTTTTCCTATGTCAGAATTTCAGAGAGAGAAGAAATTGAGTTATTTATAGACTTCTCCATAATTATAAATGTGATCCCTATTCAAGGTTAAAAGAAATGGGGAGGAACTATATTGGGAAGTGCTTATTAATCATGTTGGATTAGATTTATAGATATGCCTTTCATAGTACATGATACACCCGTCAGTGGCTAAACAGTAGTTTAAATAGTTTTGTCCTAAAACTATAGTAAAAGTGGCAAATACAAGGTTTTTTACTCAGTTTTTTTCACATTTGTACTACTTTGCTGAGATGTTGTCATGACATTTTTGGTGGTGGAAATAAAATATGAACTCTTGCTTTTGATATTGTGTCTTTCAATTGTGAGTTCTATCAAAAATAAATAAAAGAAAACATATAACATTTATATGATTGCCAAGTACAGCCACATTTTATTGTGGTTACACAAGGACTAAAACCACTAAACACTGCAGAGAGATTTTGAACCAAGATTTTTGTTTTAATAAGAAACAAAAAATTGGTATTGGAAATTGGTATAAGGTCCTGGGAAACATAATATCTAATGCTTTATTATTTAGATACATATGTAGGTAGTTGTATAATAACAATATGTTCAAGTTTCGTGTGGAAAGAAAATTGACAGCTCTGTCCATAACCCTATATGTGTTTTCTGAACTGTACAGATTTAGCCAGTTGTCATTAACTGTTTTTAACCTTTACTAGTATCAATAGTAAAAAATACTGTACCAACCACATGCTTTAACCAGAAAGCTCTGCGTGCTTTTGTTCTCCATCATGACAGAAACATGAAGGAAAATGAGCCACAAAGATTTACAAGTGATTCATTGCTTCCATCAAAGCAATATAATTTTAAATTGTACTTTCATTTGTCTTTTCCCTGACAGGAGGCATTGTTGATAAGGACCTTCGTCACTACCTCAATCTCCGATTCCAGAAAGGTTCGGTGGACCATGAGCTCCAGCAGATCATAAGAGACAATCTCTACCTCCGCACAGTGCCATGTAAGTAGGGTGCAGGTGGACAAACCTGGCATTTTAGTGGCAATAGACCATCTGGGTGAATGCTGCTGAGGCCCTTTGCAATGAATGAAGAGGTGGTCTGTGGATAAAACAGACTTCTTGTTAATAGATTTGTGGTTTGGTTCTAGTCTTCCACATAACTGCTGAGAAATTCAGCTGTGCAATGGTGATGTTTTCGTGGTGTTTTCAAAGTCGTAATTTCATGAAGTCTGGCTCTAGAATAATAATAATAATAATCTTATTTCTTCTGTAGTTTTAGAAAGCACAAATTTAAAGAGAAAAACCAGCAGTTTTCTGGGCTGGTTCAGTGGATATCCATTGGATTTATAAAGCAATAGGGCAACAGAAGAAATGTGTATACCAGATTTTGTCTGAATGCAACAGGAATGGCAATGAAAGTTTGAAGTGTCTTGCATATGTGTTTGTTGCCACATAAGCCAATACTGAAAATATTCTGAAATCTCTAAAATAGTTTTTGTTGTATTGAGAAGATTCAGCTATTTCAACAATGGACATGAAATTAAGCAGAGTCACACAAGCCATGTCCAACTGTCAGGGTCATGCCTTTCAGAACAGATCACTTGGCTGACAGACAACATATCATTTTACATGGACTGAAGTTCTATTATTCTTCCCTCATAAAATAATTGCTTAGCAGACATAAAATGGGTCTTCTGGTTTTGGCAAAAAAAGGGGTGCACTTTTGAACTTACAGGCTTGACACCGGAATGATAGGCAGAGGGAGGTATACTAAGTGTCTGTGCTATTTCTATGGTAATGGGTGGATGCCCTTTGAAATGTTTTTTCTTTCATAATATTAAAGAATGGAGCTTTGAAAAGCTCCTCCTAAAAAAATAAATATAAATGCCTAATTTCTAATGTTCCATTTGCAACTGATCAGAAGGGAAGGCGGAGAAAAACATTTAGAAGTTATTACCTGTATGCAGAAAGCAAAAAATGTTATATTTATGTGAGATTTGTGATAAATTAGGTTTGTCAGAAAATGCTGAGAAACATTACAGCTGTATTGGAAATGCAATTACAAAAAAGTTTTGAGACTAAATCCCACTTCCAAGGATATCTGGGGGCATCATTAGCCTAAGCGTATTCTTATTATTGCCCCAGTCCATGCTCATTAGTGCCACAGGTCCAGGTCAAAGAAGAATAAAAATATAACAATATTGCAACTACTGCACACACGTTGTGTATGACAGACACCATCTGTCAGTGATATGGGCACAATGAGTATTTTTTGAGGTTGTTTTGTTTTCATTCAAGGCAATAATAAAGTGTTCTCATGCCTTAAGTAAGATACCATAGTCACAGAAGCAAATTTGTCATTCAAAATGCAACGCTACAACCACAAAGACTAATTTGGAGTCTGTAAACAGCACAACCTTTCCTTATTGCTGTGACTTCTCCATCTTCTGTGTCACCTTAGATTGTTAAATTCTTAGGTCATTATTGTATTATATAATGAGCATATTTGACTAAGTAAAATCTGCGGTTTGAAATATACTATAGTGTTGTAAATGGCAGGTGCTGATTTGCTGGGTAACCTGGTGTGTTCTTACGTTCTTGGAGAGTGGAGGAATCTTTTCAGTAGCAGACGTAGCAAAAAAAAAAAAAACCAACAAAAACAAACAAATAAAAATACCCCAACCAAACAAAACAAAAACAAAACAACACAAAAAAACCCCATAGTGCTTAATTGGTATATTTTCTTCAAAATGTTCTTGAAAATTCTATGAAAACAATCCTTCTTAAAAGTGACTATTTAAAAAAAATGAAATGATCAAATGCAGACAGGATGATTTGTGGTTAGCCATAGGATTTTTCATAATCAGTCAGATGAAAAGAACACCATCACATAGTTTGCAACCCAAATTTCCTCTAAACCATAATTGTGGTGAATCTTTTTTAAATGCAATTTTACTCTGTCCCCAGAATTCATGCCTAGGAGGGAAAATGTTTTCACCTGATTGTTTATTTTAATATAACTTAACTAATTTTTGAATCACAAACTTACCTTTCAAGAACATTGGTATTCAAAATCTTCTGCTCTGGGTAGTATTTTGTTTTTAAGCTCTGTACATAATCTAAGAGTACTGGTTGGTTGTCCTCACACTGTCCTTAGTATACAGTGGTAATGTTTACCTGACTGTACCACTGCCCACAAGTTCACTTCATGAGTGCACCTAACCATGGATTTATTACAGATATTGCAACAGATGCCAACACAGCAAAAGCAGCACTCAGTTTTTATCAAATTCTTGTGCAGGAAAGTAGAGAGGGAAACCCAGCTGTAGGCAGCATTGACTTCATTTCCAATAACGAGGTTGTAACACAAAGAGAGGAAAAAAAAAAAGAAAAATATGTGACAACAAAATTTCATCTACAATCTTTGCTGTTACAGAGGCATGATTGCCAGTAAAACCATAAGAGTGTTTGTAGAGTTTTTACCTTGGGTTTTTCTGTTCACACTGGCAGCACTGGCCCCAGCAGTGGAGTGAGCATGACCATGGGTTTCTCAGTCTTCAAGGTTAGATTAAGGCATCTTTCACTTGCATTTATGAGTGAGTATTCTCTGTGAAACCAGGAAGCAGAGAACTTATCCATACCTGTTTTAAGTCAGCATAAGCCAATTCAAGTTAGACAACTGAACTAGTATATACTAGAAACTGGGTAAGGTTGAGCCTTGGACTCAACCCATTGCAGTGTTAAAAACCAGTCTGGATAAGACTTTAAACAACCAGCTCTAGGGGCAGGTGTTCCAGCCCATTGTGAGGGGATTTTGGGACTTGATGATCTTCCAATCCTTATTCAATAACTCTGTGATTCTAGGTAAGATTTTGAATTGTCTGTTATACAAGTGTACATCCCTGTGTACACCAAAGAGTAGATGGTCCAGAATCACGATGTGAGGATAATGGGTCAATTCTGCCCTCAGAAATTGTAGCCCCTGGGAAGGGGATGAATTGGTTGGGTTCGTGATCTTTACATTTCTCTATTTTTGCTAGTGCAGTGCCCCTTTCTACTAAATTAGAAATGACCGTGTAACCCTGGGAGTCAAATGCTGCCTTCCACGAGGGCTGCAGTTCTCAGTGCATATGAAATTGATTTTCCCAGCATTGCCAGCAGGAATGATATGCATACATCCCAGGGTGAGATGTACAATTGTATTTGCAGCAGTCAGGATGCAGACATTAACAAGGCAGTTTTGGGGGAAAGAAAAGTTCCTCATTTTCCACTTTCAGAAGACCTAACTGAAGTCTGTGTCCTGCATTTTCTTCCCCTTTTCCTGTTGTGTAGAATTTCAGCACTTTTTATATCCTAAACTTACTCCTGAAGATATTTAGGAACGCTATTGTGGTTGTCCTGCAATACAGAAAAGCAGGGAGAGAAGCTCATTGATATCCTCTGGGATATAACCTCATACTGGCAGTAGCTCAGATGAGCTGGTCATATTCCTGCTGCACCATAGGAGGATGCAGCCCATGAATGCTCTCTTAACAGTGAAAATGGGGAAAAAATAGCTTTAAAAACATTATGGGGATGAAGAAGCTTCCCTCCTAGTCTTTGAGTTTACAAAAAAAAAAAAAGGAATGATGTAAGAATGGAGAGGGTTGGAACCATACAGCACTGGATATTTCAGTATTACCATTAGCACAGAAATTGGAGGAAGGATGTTTTATTTAAGACATTTATCAGCAGCATAGGAAAAAAAAATTAATTTTGTGACTGAGCCATATGCTGTATGTGAGTGACTAGGGGAAAAAAATGGAATCATTATGAGCAGCCACATGAGTTTCCCACATACCAAATCATGATAACAGATCCTCCTTTTTGTCACTTCCCTGTTGATACCAATTGCATGGGTGCTCTGTGTTAGGTGAATATAATTAACACTGCATTGCAAATATGACACCTATGAACACTTAATAAGTCACTTAAGTCACTTCTGCTGTGACTTATTTTTTTCCATCTTCTGTGAATATTTAGATTTAGGTCATTTTGTGTCAATATAAATTAGAGCCTCATTTTCAAATATAGTTCTGTTCTCTTGTATTTTAATATAGTCTGGTCTATATATAAATTTAACCCATGTGCTGCAATATTGTCTGTGTACTGTTGAAATGTTATATCTTGCAGCATGCTTATGTTTGTTGTCTGGTCCTCTTCCCAGAAGAAAATGTACATGGAGTGATACATTTATTTTCTGGTGTTGGTTTTATTTATCATATATAGTAAAAGTAGAGCAATTAGCTTATATTTTGGTGATACTAAAGTCAATAAAATATGTTTATACTTGAGGCTGCAGGGGAATTTACACTTTCAGACCTGAAGAAATCTCTATCTGCAAAACAGTGCAAAACAAACAAGGTCTTTCCCACTGTCAGAACTGTCATAGATTGGCAAACCTTAGTCATTTATAGTCTACTTTGTGGATACCCATCAGAAACAAAGAACTGGGAGTCTGTAAGACTTTCCTTTCCCAATGATAGGTGACTCATAGTTTGTGTTTCTTCTAATACCTTTTATTTTGGTCACAATAATTGGTAAATACTGAATTAAATCCATATTACATACTTAGGTTTTCATATGAGGTTTCTAATTTCCAAGCTGAGAAAAGAGTTGCAGAATTCAAGTGAGCAATAACTCTGTACTGGTTGAGGGTAGCCCAAACTCAGAAGCTCCCTGTGCATAGTTCTGCTGCTCTGGATAAGGTTGTGAGGTATGCCTGACTAATCCATATTTGAACAAATATGAAGCCTTTCAATTTTTTTTTGAAAAATACTTTTTATCTTCTAAAAAGTACATAGCCAAGAAAATTCAAAGGGAAATGTGTGAAACAGACTTTCCAATGGTATATTTTTCTTACAAATTCGTTCATGTCAAAAGTATCTTACAAGAGGTACTGTCAGTGAAAGAGCTGCCAGTTTGACGTCATATGGAGCTATTGCTAGGATAAAATAACCTGT